CTACAGATTACAAAAATCTACCAACCGAGTATAACAATTACATGATGAATGTCAAGAAAAAGTTAAGAGCAATGCCACCTTCTCTATCTGATAATAATGAGATCAATTTTCATATATTAAATGACTTGAAATTTAAATATGCCTAGACTTAGGCAAATCCCTTGTACTAATTTATTATTGTACGACTCTATTCTTATTCTTGATCGTTCATTGATTTTTGGCTGAGTTCAAAAATACCTTAAGGTAACACCCCACCATTTCGATTTTGTAATTTCAAATTTTACTACCTCATATTACCCGAAATAAAAATATACTTGTAAAAGAATCAATTCAAGCCATGTTATTATTAATTAGCGACTTAATTTCTTTGTTAGAATTTTTCTTTTGGCACTTCAACTGCCTCAAAGGCACAACCAAAGGTTCTTGATGTACTTCTGAGTTTTAGGGAGATTTAGGCCAGTATAAGGTATGTCACGCACTCTCTAGTCGGGGAACATGAGTGTGCATGCAACCTACATTCTCTCTCTTCATATCCTGGGTAGTAGCTCCAACCTTGACGGAGAGTAGCTACCACCAATGTCGGCTATGTCCGTTCATCATTGGCAGCTGGATCGTGTTAAATCGCTTACATATTTAACCCCATGTTCTTCTAATGCAAAACATATATCCAAGCAAATCAACCCAACAATCATCTGTCAACATTATGAATAAATCGAAAATTATGCACGAACACACATTTATCCTTTATCAGACGATGAAGCCGTGATATCTGGACATTCGTCCATTTAAATTTTAAATCCTGACTCACGTTGGACGTTTTGAAACACCAATCAGGTAATAAAGATATAAATAGTGAATAAACAGTTGATAAAGCTCGCTCGGCAAATGTTTTTATAAATAAACAATATCGTTTAAATTAATTTCCCCGAAGCTTGTATCTTCGAAATGGCTAATTCAGGATTTATTAGTTACCACAGAGACGGACATGGATATTGATAAAAAAGCCATCGTAAAATTGTAGTGATTAGTAAATAGAAGCTATAAAGATAATGCTGGATGTTTTTCAGTCGACGTGTCACACGTGCGCCCAAGTCAATTTAGATGTGTGTGGTTTTGTGCTAGGCAGTAGAGTTCATTTACTGCAGACACTTAAACATGATCCATATAATGGTTTAAGGACCAATTTCACCAACAACAGTCCTTTATTCTCCACCTATAGGGTAACAGCCGTTAAATACAGCGAATGAGCTTCAAGTTCCAATCAACAAATTTTACCAACCAATAGCTATGAAATGTTGAAAACAAAATACTGTCAAAGTATGAGATGACAACTTGTCATTGAAACATTACCAGCTCATTGAATATTAAGAAATTACATATAATTCAGTCAAAATTTAAAGAAATGTTTGATTTTTGAATAAAATTCATGATTTAATTACTATTGTTGATTTTTTACTCATGTCTATATTATTTTCTTCAATTGATATGCGATTTTACTGATTCAAGATTATCTACTGGGTGTTTTTTCCTATAAACCTCTTGCAGATAACCATTAAGCACCTACTTGATGACTCGCTCTACCAAAAAGTTCGTAGATATTGCTCATTTCCAAACATTCATATCATATTCCCACAAAACCATTCTGGTTTTTTAAAATCCATACATCCATAAAGTTGAATATATTTCGTTGTTCAGGAACTTAACAAACATCCACACTATATTCACAGCATAGAATATATGTCGTAGAGCTACCAGCAAACCGAAAACCTCCAGAAAAACTAGAAATTTGCAATATTTTTCTTTTTTCACTGAGTACCTATCCTGGGCTATATTTATATTAGGCGTTATTTGAATCACAAAACATATACACTGCTTTGAATAACAGCTGACTATCTCTTGATATTTTAAAACTAACCATATCGACAAGTGACACATAATTCTGTGGGATCCGTCAACACTTCGTCCCAGTGGTAGTGGTGTTGGTTATCGTTACTTTCGGGTACTCGTTACTAATCGTTACTCTTCTACAAAGTAATCGTTTATTGTATTCGTTACTTTGATTAGTATGAGTAGTATGAGTATAACGATTTGGCAATATGCGTCGTGTGATTAATGTCGAATTTAAACAAGTTGAATGGAACCGAATCTTGTAAGAAACTAGACGACCTTAAAATTTCCAAAATGTTATAAGCATAGTTTATTCAAGACTATCGTGTTTAATGCAAACATTGTATCTTCAAACTGTATGCTTATCGAGATGAGTTATCATAGGATGGAGTGTCATATGACTCATATGAGCCTACAAACTGAAAATACTTTGTACTTACTAGAAATACTTAAACACATGTCTTTTAGTCAGAAAGTTGATCTGTATATGGGCTTAAGGAAATTCGGAATGGCATATGACTTTTCGAAGCATTTCAATTAAGCATAATATACCAGTATAAAAAATTCTACGTTGAGCTTGGTCTACACATACTATTGGTGGTCATACTGAATTATATTTTTTTTAGCAAAACGGTGCATGGAAATTGACATAACTTTTATTATTGTGGTTTTCCTGAACGGTGGTGTTACCTTGTTGTCGCTTTGCTGCCTCATAATACTGCAGAACTTTGATCGTATCCAATCGACTACTTATTCCTTTTCAAGTTCCCAAGATCACAACAATAAAAGCGAATTTGTGTCACGGTGTAAATAGGTAAACTTCATATTTAAAAACAATTACCAAATTCTATGTCCGCCAATAAAAAAAAATGAGTTTCCAGGTTTCCATCTGAATGTGGGATGTCTGGCAACCCTGGTGCATGAGCGGCAGTGCTACAGTCTAACCAGCGTTACCACTCAACGATCAACGATTGTACAGGTACCGGGTAGGGATACGGAAAACAGAGTAATCAAAGTAATCATTTCGTGCTCGGATTGGTACTCGTTACTTCGGGTATCTATGAGTAACGAGTACTCGAGTTTCGTATGATTACTTTTTCAACACCACTACCCAGTGGAGCAAACTCTGCCAACTGTCGAAATAAACTTTATTAATTCCAAGTTTTATTTTTGTTTTACTGTGCCTGCTTAGATATTCAAATACGGCCGGAATTATTAGCGCCTGGCTACTTTAGGCCTTCAATAACTCCTTATTTTAGATCTCTCCTTATTTTGTTTTTTCTACGCATTCATGGTAGAAAGAAAAATATTTTATTGAATATCGATACCGTATACCGTGCAGCAGGCACGCCCATCACTACTTTGACTGATTGCAGAATGATGTCAAGGTGACAATCGTTATGTGTTTTTGTTTTTGTCTAAAATAGGCAAGTAGGCTTTGTGTATTCATTTTTTTTATGGCTTTTCCAGAATTTCATATTTCGAAACGATGTCAAGGGCCGGCAGGGGAAAATCTTTCTCTATCGTCGCCATCCCTGTATTGTATCCCCACCAGTCACCAGTCAAAAACCTTAACCACCAATATTTTATCACTATTTATAATTCTTTTTAGCTCTTATTTTTCAGTAATAGCTAATAATTTTAGGTCTATGTCTACAGTAATAATTGCATTATGCACCTCGGAGATGTAGGGATTAACATGTTTTACACATATCGGTGTTTTAGGATGGGGACGACCATACTGTTTTGATTGCTTTGAAGAAATTCAATAACCCATGAATTTATAACAAATGATTACTATTATGATGTAAAGAGAGATGAGGAATTGGTTGGAATACATTTTATATTCTATTTTCTTGCAAATCCGCACAATTCAACAGGTATGTGTAGCTCACATGTTCACACAGTATATTGAACTTAACAAATTTCGAGATTGCCATGAATTAACAAACGACCAAACCTGCTGCCAAATTTAACAGCTAGAAAATCGGCCTATTATTTCTCCCATTCCGATTCGCTGAGGGGATAACGGATGGTCAAATGTACACCTATAACATAAATAAAAATACATGAAAGTTGTCCTGTTTTCTCTGTACAAAAGCATCATGTTGGAATCAAAAAGTAGTCTTGTTTATAATACAGTCGAATTTTCACGATTTCATTCAACATTTTAATAGAACTGATATTCTGAGACCTTTGACAGCTTCCGTCAAATTGCATTTCGATAAGGTATTTTCCTATTGGTCCATAATATTAATGTTGGTGAAATCGGCCCTAAGTCAATTAAATGGCTAGCATTACCATTTCATGTTCACTGCTTATACTTCTTCCGCGACGAGAGGATATTGCAATTCCGATGGTACGCATATAACTTTGTGTCATCATGCATGTGAGGAATTAAAACTTTGTATGTAACAGATCTTATTTTCTTCAAACTGTAGGTCTAAAGAAATTCCTAATATTGGTTATTTTGAAGGAGAGATTTGAATAGTAGATGTCATGCGTATGACGTGAAGGGTAGAAAATGCGATTTTCCAAAGTTCATGGTTAATTTTCTAGAATTGAAAAAATAAATGATTTTATAAAGGTCATTGTCCTTTATATCTTATTGTCGAATCATCAGCAAAACTAACTATTTGACTTACACTTACACTTACACAGTTAAGTGTATCAAGCAAACAGATATCAAATGAGAAAGGGACACTGTACCCTGAGGTACACCACATTTGACAAACGTTTCCTCCTTGTATGATTTCTATAGTTTCACTATTTGGGGACCTTTTCGACAAATAAATTTGCATTAAAGAATTTATTTTCCCACGAAAACCTAGTTTGTAGTACATAGTAGTAATAGTTTATATTTTTTCCGATACACGCAATGTATAGTACTCCTCAAAAGTGAATGTAACATTTTAGAATATAAAAAACAACATAAACAAATAATCTACAAAGAATTGAACCTTACAAAACACAAAAATTTCGAGACGGCGTGATGACAGCTTTTTATAAATAATTGCTTAGGTTCTATTTTAAAAAGGCGTATATCCTTGGCATTTCATATGTCTACTGTTAAACATTTTTGGCTCTAAATACTTTGGAGACTTCCTGGATACATTGTACTTCACAAATGGTACATATTGCCACGCTCTTTTTTTTAATTAAAATCACTTTTTAATTTTAAGCTAAAGTTATTTCTCTCAATTGAGGCAATTGATGATTAAAAAAAAACTAGGGGGTTACTGAGGCTAAAGTCGTGGGTTAGCGTTGCCAAATTAGGCCCTATATTCAGGAATACCGGAGAGTAGGGGGGTATTTTTTAGGGGCGCCACCAGCTTTTATCCGCCAAAACTGGAAGACGCCTTGGTGTTGAAAGGCACTCTTTAGCCCAAAACTCCAAGAAACAAAAACAAAAATACATACAAACAATAATAGATTTTCTGTGTGGGTAAATAATTGCTAAAATTAACATCAATACATTTCATTACATCTACTAATGGCTAACAACAAAAATTTAAGCCAGCCAAACTAGGAGATCTCCCTTAATGCGAAAGCTTATTGACTAACTAATTTAAAATGGGCGAGGAAGGCTTCAAAACCGATGACGTAAGAATCCATACGGTGCAAAAAGGGTCTCTGTTCGGAAAGAGGTCCTCGGTAGAAAACGTGTCAATGGATCTCCAGAGAAGACTCCCCCAAAATAAAAGCCCTAGATGATGTCGGGTAGGGTTTTTCACGTGGTTCCGTCTGGCGAAAAGTGCGGCTGAAGACAATAAGATCCTATAAATTGTAGAATTTCTCGGGTCCAAGGGTAGACAAAAAAAAAGATGCTACGCACTCACAACAGGAATGACCCAGGAAATTATCTATAAAATTTTCTTCCACAATCCAACGAAGATGCCCCAGGCAAAAAAGAGGAAGATTTCAGGTCTTCTGGCACTAGCGGAACAGAACAAGGTGGCCCTCCGATAGTAGAAGGAAGTCCCATCCCAAAATTTTAATTTTTTTTGACTTGACATTTCCAAATATAGTTGTACGCCTGACCATTAAGAGCCAAACGTTGTCGGCTAATCCCAAAATGAGAAGGTTCCTAATATAAATTCAAGGAAATATCGTGAATAAATGTGGCAACACCGTCATATCTGCATATAAATTTGATTGATTAATAAACATAAGGAAATTCTGAAATAAAATTGGCAACTATGCGGAACAAGCGAGGTGTGCAAGTAGTTCGGTACGCAGTATAGTACCTCGACATAGCGACATCAGCCTTTGACATTGGAAGATTGCAGAAAACAATAATAAATTCATCTGACTATAAAAGAAATACATAGTCCAATAGGTGAGTAATAATATTTATGCAACACAAATAGTTTTTAATTCAGAAGGTGATATCAATTTATAGATGTACATTTATTTATTTATTTATTTATTTTTAGCTCCGGAGTGACAAACCGGATTGTTGTTGGGATGTAAACAAATCCCCGAGGCGAAAATTTCGAGATTGAATTGATTTCTTGACGGTGGAAGATCTAGCATGGGATGGAAGCAACCGAGTTATTTATGAAAATATGTGGAGATGAATACTAAAATTACTACTCATGGTGAACCAGGGAAATTACTTGGTAACACAAGAAGAAATTGTCCATATCAGGGTGAGTAAATTCTTCAATTAATTACCTGAATGCATGGAAAATTGACTACACATTTATAAACTTAGTGGTAGAATCTGTAAAGATGATCAAAATGGAGTGCGATTGCTGTACGTTAAATTAAATAATTGAAATTTTTGGATTATAAAATAGAACAGGATGAATTATGTTTAATTGATTAAGAAATATTTGGTAGTCAAACGACTACAGAAGAAAAACAACGGATACAAATTAAAAATTATAGTTATTCCGTGGTATTCATGTGTTATGTTTGTTATTTCAAATAAACATGATAATAGGTAAATGTCTGCGTGTTATTTATTTTGGTTATGAATTACGTGAGAAAAATATAGCTAAATATACCGTTAAAAACAACCCTATCTTGGTAAATGGCCAATGGACCGGTCTAGTCATTTTTGTCAATAAAATTTATTTAATAATATGCTATGAATAAAAATAATATGCTACGGAGATTATTAGATTAGATTATCGGCTTTTGTTTCTTCCTTCTCAAGTTCTTGCTGCATTACTTCAAATTAAACCTGTGCGACAACAACAACAACAAAAAAATACATATGATTCATCGGCAATAAAAGGCAACTGTTACAATATAACTAGATACATGGTCTTGATTGAACATCTTTATTTTTTAACTAGTCCTCTAAATTCACATACGTTAATACAGCCAATGTATATCTATATAAGCCAGGCAAAATAAGTATCCTATATCTTTTAAAAACTTCCCTACAACTTATGCAAACTGTTTACTGTAGCAAAGCATATAATCACTCTTTTCTGGTATACAAATAGATCTAAGATTGCACTTGATGTACCCCAGAAGCAAAAAAGCAAAGTTGCCAAGGAAGATGGTACAAAACCATGACTCCTTCTGGGTAGGACAAGAGACGAAACTTGAACGCGAGTTTTTACGAAGGTAGGAGAAGGTACTATAAGTCGTATTGATTTATATAGGTTCCTTATTTATCATTATTTTTAACTAGTGACTGCTGCAGGGGAAATACAGTAATCGCGAAAAATGAGATATTATTTTTGGATGTTACATGACATGTAAGCCACAAAAAACTATGTCACTCATTTGGGTCATACAAATCCGTCTATAAATTCGAAAGTACTGCTCGGACATTGATGAAATTTCCATACAAGGCACTGTTATGTCAAGGACAAAAAGCTTTATAGATTTTCAAAGTTGGTCCAGTGACGAAACAACTGTACGAAACGAGAAAAAATAACTTGCTCAAATTTTTAATGTTCAGAGACTCCTGGTGCTTTTCAGGAAAAAATCTTGGTAGGGTTGCCAATTAGGTTTGGTGACTATATTGCAGATATTGAAGTAAATTGCAACGTTCTGCAGACACGTATTGCGAAAAATTCGCTCGGAGCATGGCTGCAACTTGTAGCAAGCGCACCTTAAGCGAAACTGGGTCATCCCATCACTTTCTTCGTAGTTTTGCTCTTCCTCCAATACAGAATACATATTGTACACCTAGTCTTCGCAAAGTCTCATTTCGTACAAACAGACAATCGTATCAATCTGAACTTTCCCATCAAGGTTAGGTTTTTTGTCCAACTTTTGAATAACAACCTGCGTAAAATGAGTCTCATATCCGTGGTATGGAACACGAAACCACTCGTTACTGATAATAACCACTTAATGCCACGGAACAAGTAATTGAAGTCGTGCGGATTTGATCCTCGTTTTTTCCGAGGAATCAGTTCAAACAATGCAGTTTGCTCGACTCGCTGTATGCATTCCATAACGAGATGATAATTTATAAGCGAATATCTCAGTGGTTCCCAAACTGTGTGACTTGAGCACTTAAGCAGCGCTTCTGAGAACAAAAGAGCTGGGGGTGGGATACGGCTAGCTAGGTGATTTTTACATAAAGAAACAGTAGTATACCATCTTCTTCAAGAAAATCGCACTGACGCGTAGAGACCCCTCAGAATCCTGTATACATCGAACTTGGTACATCGGTCTAAGTGAACAAAATATAGTGTAAGACCATATAATTGTTTTTTTTTATATTCCAACTACCACGAAGGCCTAAGGCCTAAGCACCCATTGGGTACCGTGGGGCTATAGGGGGATACATGGGAAAGGGGGGACGCCACACGGACTCTGGCGAGGGAACACGTGTGCATGCGACATGCACACATTCTGGCTCCGCCTACGAGAACCGCCGGGTGGTACCTCCGCGTTCGACAGTCAGAGACCATCTACCACCTACGGACAATCATAACATCCATAGCCAAGAGAAAAATTTCTCCTGGGACGGGACTCGAACCCGCACAGCGCACGGCGACTGATCAGCAGACCGAAGAGACTACTACTGCGGCCACCGCTGCTGCCTATAGCTGCTGCGAGATACGTCACCATTTATAAAACTTCTTGAGGTTTTTGCACGCCCAAGCCGTTCACTACATTGATTTGTTGCAAAAGTTTGAATAAAATCAATCGTATGAACAGTACAAAATACTGATCACGTTCTGAACGAATTTCCAAGTTCTTAGATGTAGGGTATTATTTGGTTGTGACGGACGTAGCTGGCTTTCCTTAGGAGCGTGCTTAAACATACTGTGAAAGTTCTTTATCTGTAGCTTATTTATTCGTTACAAAAGTTCGAAATCAGTAGGTAATTCACATTTTTTCTAATTTGGGAATCGGGATGCTTTGGAAGTGGAGGGTACCGATCTTATATTTTGACATTTTAACGCTGATAAAGTATCTGTAAGCGCTCCATATGTATTCTATATAGGAAATACAGTGTCATTTTAATGCCTGATTTTTTCATCACTTGTAGATAGTCACCTCAAATACTTTAATCTCAGTTTTTCAAGCTGTATTAGTCATTTCGTGTCATATGAATGTCATATAATACATAAATCTTTACCCTGTGATGGGTCACAAAATACAAGGGAAACATGTTTACTTTGAATCTTAAAAATAGGTAAAATAAGTCAGTATTGCTATTTATCAACTTTCTTCCAGTAGTTATTTGAAATCCACCTCGCTTCAAAAATACCCAGAAATACACGAAAGTATTTTTCCCGTTGCAAGAATAGTCTTTAAGTTCTAAGCATCATTTTTTGCAATTTTCTTAAAACACAGCAATTTGACATAAATAATAAAACTATGTTAATTTTCTCAGAAAAGCACAGCAAAGCCAAAGTGTATTCAAGTCTCACTTACTCCCTGTCAAAGCAAACGTTCGTGTGCTTTTATTGGTGAGTGATTTTGATATTTTAACGCTGCTAAAGTATCTGTAAGGGCACCATATGTATTCTCTATAGGAAATACGGTGTCATTTTTATCTAATGAATGTATGACGAATATAATGCATGTTTTTTTTCAAACTTGTAGATAGTAGCCTCAAATACTTTAATCTCAGTTTTTCAAGCTGTATTAGTCATTTCGTATCATATGGATGTAATATAATACATAAATGTTTATTTTGTGATGCGTCGCAAAATATAAGGGAAACATGTTACTTTGACTCTTAAAAATAGGAAAATAATGAAGTGATTTCTTTGTGAGTCTATTTACCAACTTTGTTCCAGTATTAATTGAAATCGACCTCGCTTCAAAATACCAAGAAATACTCGAAAGTATGTTTCGGTTTTCAACAATAGTCTTCAGGCTCTAAGCATCATTTCTTGCACTATTTCTTGAAACCAAGCAATTCGAGAGACCTAAAGAGATTCATAAAATTTGTACTGTTTTCACTTTACAAGTTGAGATAGATAATAAAAATATGTTAATTTCCTCAGAAAATCACAGCAGAGCTAAAGTGTATTGAAGTCACGCTTACTAACTGTCAAAGCAAACGTTCATGAGCTGTTATTGGCTAGTGGGCCACGAATACCTGGGCAGGCACCGAGTGCTCATGTTTGTTTTAACGCGGAGTTAATGAGGCTTGTGTCTGTTGGTAGAGAAAGATTACATTGCTTCCAATGTTTTTTTGTGGACCGCTACCTCGAAATTCAAGAAATAAGTTCAAGTGAAATCAGAGTGTTCATCCTTCATACGTTGTCTAATTCGATTTGAAAACTGAGTGTTTTTGACTATATACCTCAGTCCTCTTTCTCCGAGACCTATGGGCCCCACCTGACCTCATGATCGATATACGCCACTACTAGTAATATAGTCAACGCCAAACAAAGTGGCGTGCACGTCATCACGATAAAAATTCCCCGACCTAATGCCTAGGTTTCTATCACAAACAATTGCTCTATTGCAGTTTCATATTAATGTGATATATAAATTGTAAAATGGTCATTACTCTCTTATTATGGTTAATAGTCATATAAACATTGTTATTAAAATATCACATAAGTTGCTTTCTGATAAATTTAGACGCATTATGCGAAATAAAATGTTTTGCAAACGCTCCAATCACTTATCGACATGTAAACGCACTAAACCGATTTCGCAGCGTTGACACATTGTCACCTTGAAACTTATTTAAACTGGGAACTGACATTTGTATTAATTTTGACACTGAATCAATTTGTGGCATTTCAAATCTTTATAAATCCTTTAGCCCCGCATACTGTAAATCAACAACTGTTTGTTTCAAAACAAAATTATTCATTTTACGAGTAGATAAAGGCAATTTTGGTATATAAAGATGCCCAAACAGTTAAATAGTCGGTGTAAGGAACTCGTGGCCTCGTTAATGCACTACTTGGAGCAAGAAAGGGACAACAACGGGCCTTTGTTGCCTTTAAATGCTGTTCAAGAGGTAGGTTACTAATAATTATATGTAATGTATATTAATAATAGTGAAATTTTATTTCATTTTTTGTAGCGTGTTGCTGCTGCTTTAAAATTAGTTTAAGGACAGTTAGTCGTATTTCCGAGGGTGTGAAAAGTGATGCAAGTTTAGAATTGCCCAAGAAAAAGCGGAGTTATATTAAACGTGTAACCAACACAGCGACATTGGATACAAGTGCCATTCGAGAAGTGATCTATAATATGTATCACAAAAGTAAGATCTTATTATAATAACTTATCAGAAATTTGCATTAATTTGTTAACTAAATTATAATGTCATATTACACATGGTTTCAGAAGAACAAGTTACGATACAAACTTTATGGTCTCGATTAAGAGATAGGGCATTATTTGATGGTAGTGCCACGTCTTTAAGGCGGTTGCTTAGAGATCTTGGATTTAAGTGGCTTAAGGACAATCCGCGACGAGGGCTCATGGAACTACCAAGTATAGCTTTGAAAAGGGTGGAATTTCTAAGGCAATACAATCAAGCCAAGGTTGAGGCCTTATACCAGTTTGTCTTCCTCGATGAAACTTGGATATTTCAAAATGGGACCATAGGTCGCTCTTGGCAAAATGGAAACCAAAAAAGCGTGAAAGCTATTAAAACAGATGGTAAAAGGTATGTACTTTTACACAATTTGCACTATAAAATTTAAAACTAATATATTTTAGATACATTATATTACATGCTGGAAATGAAAATGGGTTTATTGAGGGTAGTGAAGCGATATTTTCTTCGAAAACAAAATTGAGCGATTACCATGGAGAGATGAACCAGGACAATTTTTTGAAATGGTTTGAACATCAGTTATTAGAAAAATTGGAGAGTCCATCTATGATTATACTGGATAACGCCCCTTATCACAGCATGATATTGAACAAAGTGCCCAACAATGCATGGACAAAAAAAATATCCAATACTGGTTGACAAATCAAAACATACCATTTTTAAACAGAATGTTTAAATCAGAGCTATTGAGTATTGTTGCTCGGTACATAATGCTTCTTAATTATATATATTTTGGTCGACAGTTTATATTTCTTTTGTTTATTCCTATTCTTAAAATAACTGCTTTTTAGAAACAAACCACCTAAAATATACGTGATTGATGAATTGGCGGAACAACATGGGCACAAAGTTCTTCGTCTGCCTCCTTACCATTGTATATTTAACCCTATTGAGTTAATTTGGGGCATAGCAAAAGGTTACTATAACAGACATATTGGTAGAGATGGTAACAGTGAAAAAGACTGTTTGGATATGTGGAACGAGGCTCTACAAACGGTTACCCCAGACATGTGGAAAAATAGTGTTCGACATACTGAGCAAGAAATTTTTAAATGGTATGAAAGAGAACGAATTTTTGATCGACCAGACATCGAACCTTTAATAATCAACTTTGAGAGTGATGAAGATTCAGATTCAGACAGCGCTGAAGAAAGAAACTCCGACTAACTTTATTGTACAGAAAAAGCTTACACCAGTAGCTTACCTAATTTTAGAATGCATTTTTCTGTATGAATTCTGTAAAATAAATACCATGCATAAAATTTGGAGGACCCCATTTGGATTTTTATTCAGTACCTTTAAGCTATTAATTAAATATGGTAGTTTCATAGTGTCATCTGATCAATAATTGTCATACTTAATGATTATGCAAGTACAGATCTATAATTTTATTATACTATTATTTTTGTTCTCATTTGAGGTTAATATTGCTTATAAACCTAGATATGTAAATAATAAATTTTATTATTTTACAAAAAGTTTGGCAACAATGTAAATTTTTCAACACACCCACCTTGATGACGTGCACGCCACTTTGTTTGGCGTTGACTATAGTTATAGTGTCCTTGATATTCAAGCTCTCGGTATACGCAACTGAGTTCGATGAGCGCACAATATGATGTATGATTTAATGCCTTTTAAGTGCGTTCTGTGTAATGCCGTGTTCGAGGACTTCGAAAAATTTGCCTCTGACTGTCATACTGCTTTCACTTCTTCATGAAGAGTCATTCCTTTGGTAAACGTTATTTGTAGTTGGAAGAGTGCACCGTAACTAAGAAAGTTGTAGGGACCACTGGATTGTTCTGCTGCTGGCCGACAAAAAGCGTTTCGTTTCCTGCCCGTGGATTGCTCCCTGTCTCTTTCCCCCTTTTTTTGTAGCTCATTTACATTTTTGTGGGTGAATCGGAATGTGAAATTTATGGGGTACATGAGTGCTTATTCTTCAGGTGGTCGTTTAAATGTACACACTGCTTTGAGGGATGAGGGATTATTGAAATCTTGCTCAGTTTTAGAGAACTTCATAGCATTCATGCAGAAAATCTGCCAGTGTTAAACTATCACCAAGGAGAAAGTATATCAAGAGACGACAATGGAACGAAGTTTGACAGTCTTTGTCATTTCAAATTGGTTTCGTACTGGTTACCTATACCAGCCAACACGAGTGGTTGGCATCATCAGAAGATGATCACAGTTCGGAGTCCTGTGTGCTACTGGTATAACTACAATTTACAAAAAACAAAAAAAAACAGAGCCTTCCCCTTTTTAGTTTCTTTTGGCTTTGTCTTCTCTTTTTCGAAAATTAATCATAGCAGTACGAGAAGAGAGAACGGAACGAACGAAAATAAATATCCCATTGACCGTTTTTATTAAAAGAAGAAACGCCCCGTATAATTTGAGAACAAGCTTGGCATGTTGTTCGCTCCACTTTGATATTAAAACACGTTGCTTTTCCGTAATAGACTGACTTTTATTTATACATGACAGTTGACCGTGCTACACATAGTTACACACAGTACAACCTAGATGGCGTTACTTCACACATTTTGATTTATATTGTTATCTATTCCAATACCCCCACATAACAAAATAAATGTGAATTTCTAAACAAAATACATGTTTTACTTATTTAGCCTTTAATCCCAACATGTCCATGAACTTATAATGCTTAGTCGACAAAAGACCTTTGGTTAACAAGTCAGCGGGCATTTCTTGAGTTGAAATGTATTCAATATTAATTAATTTATTTTTAACTGCATCTCTAACATAATGAAAGCGAACATCAATATGTTTGACCTAGCATGTGCCTGATGACTTGTTGCCAATTTTAATGCACTTTGATTATCACATTTCAATTTAATAATCCCTCTTTTACCAATAAGTTCATACATTAAATTTCTTAAGTAAACAGCCTCCCTAGATGCCTCTGAGAGAGCAACATATTCTGCCTCAGTGCTGGATAAGGAGACAGTCTTTTGTTTTTTGCTTTGCCAGGAAATCACAGAACCGCTCATTACAAAACAAAACCCAGTATAAGACTTACGATCTAGACTATCGCTAGCCCAGTCTGCATCAACAAAACCAGTCAGTTCTACATTATCCTTCTGATATGTTAAACAATAATGTTTGGTTTTCTGTAAATATCTTAATATTCGTTTAGCATAGCTAAAATGAGTTTCATTATAACAGTTATTGAACTGGCTGAGGTAACTAAGAGTATATGACAAATCTGGCCTAGTTAAAACTGCCAAATACATAAGACTTCCAATGAGCTTTTGATATGGAATGTTCACTGCACAATTTTCAGCCTTTTCTATGTTTAACTTGCTTTCAATCGGAGTATCTATCGTTTTACAATTAGACATATCAAACTTTGACAATAATTCTTCTATATATTCCTGCTGATCTACACTTATAGTCTTACATTCTTTGTTTACAATAATCCGCATGCATAAGTAACGTCTAACAAGACCTAAATCTTTCAATTTGAATTCAGATCTTAAGTCATTTATCAATTTTTCAGTCTCAGAAGTACTATTTGAAAAAATTAAAAAATCGTCAACATAGACAGCTACTATAATCTTGACATTCCCACAAAAAAATGTAAACAAGCATGGTTCAAATTTACTCAATTTAAAATCAAGTTTAAGCAAACAATCTTTCACTTTTTCATACCAGACCAAAGAAGACTGTTTTAATCCATAAATAGCTCTTTTTAGTTTCAAGATCTTACCTGTTTGCTTATTTACAAATCCTTCCGGAAATGACATATAAATATTTTCTTTTAAATGCCCATTTAAAAATGCTGTAGTAACATCTAGATGTCTAATGTCCATATCCCACTGTACACTTAGAGCAAACAACATTCTCAGTGTAGAATGTTTAACAACAGGAGAAAAAGTGTTCTCATAATCAACTCCACGTCGCTGTGAAAAACCCTTAGCCACAAGTCGCGCACGATACCGCACTTTTTCATTCACATCTAGTTTTTTATTTAAGACCCACTTGTTTTGCACAATTGATGCATCACTTGGTATATCAACAATATCCCATGCATTGTTGTCCTCGAATGACCGAAGTTCCTCTCGTATGGCCTCTCTCCACTGATCAGCTTCTGGTCCATTCAGTGCTTCATAAAAATCTATTTGTTCGGCTTCTGAACAAGAATTAGTAGTACACATGTTACCAAACCCAAAACGATCTGGTGGTCTTCGTGTTCTCTTATCTTCTTCTTGTAATGCCGCTATATCTTGAATCTCACTAAGCGAGACATCTGTATCTGTGTTTGTGGTCATTGTATCATCATTACTGCCACTAGACGGATCAGTATATACAGATGTATGCGAATCTGAGTCATGGAGAGATTCATTCACTGAAGGCTCCCCCACTGAATCTCTGCCATCTTTAATTGTAGGAGATTCATGATCTTCAATTTCTACATCATTCTGTATCCATTCTGCTGTGTCTTCTTCAATCTTTTCTGATGATACTTTCTTTTCTTCCATCACTATTATATCTCTCTTAATAGTTATAATATTTGTTATAGGATCATATACACGATATCCCTTCACTGTCTCTGAAAATCCCACAAGAATGTTCATTTGGGCTTTCTTGTCCCATTTTAATCTTCTTTCTTTTGGTATGTGTTACGAAAAATATTACATCGAGTCCAAGGACGGCAACGTCGGAAGACTAGATAATATATCCACAAACTTGTATGATACGAAAAAAAGCATGTAAACACTAAACGGACAGAATAAATCGAGCGTTGTTACCGGGCAGGTAGTTTTATTGAGAGCTCCGAAAAACATCGTGTCGTGTGAGAAAAGACGTAATATTTCAGAAGGTGGGATAGAACTTACTGAATATTGATTAGTTGTGACGGGTTAATAAGTTATCGTGTTGCTAAGTACTGTGTATAGACTTAGTGCAAGATGAGTGACACTTCAAGTGAGGATGATAATGAACAATCTGGACTTTATGTGTGTGCTCCAACAAAAAAACGGAAGATCGAGAAAACAGTTGACAAGCTTGTGGCAAAAAAAGTGAGTAAGATTTTGAGTCAACGTAATTTCATACAGAGCACTGATTCAAAATACACCGGGAAAGCAGATTTGATACCAGAGTTTGATCCGGAAAAATCAGAGATCACTGCCATAAATTGGTTACATAAGATTGAACAAATTGGAATGATTAATAGTTGGAGCGATGAACAAAAATCATTATGCATGCAGTCTCGCCTTACAGGATTGGCAAAAGTTTGGTATAACGGGCTAACAGACTACAACTTGAATTGGGACGAGTGGAAATTGGCCATCTCACGTGCCTTCCCTGCACATACAGACTACGTCAACTTGCTAAAAAAATGTTGGCGCGAAGTAAGAGTAATGATGAGAGCATGATGCATTATTTTTATTCGAAGAACATGCTGGTAAAAAAATGTGGACTAGTGGGGACTAATGCAGTTTCTTGCATAATTGATGATTACCCATACCACTGCAAGCTAACGCAAAAGCTGGGAACTATGAATCACCAGACGAGCTGTTCTACGGGTTCCTTAGCAAAGTAGCGAGTTTTCGCGAGTCGCCAGCTAAGAGAATGGGTACCACAGAAAATTTTGATCTACAACCTAGTACATCTGGACAATTGACATTTAGGTGTATCTTATGCAAGAAAGTAGGGCATAAAGCCCGACATTGTTTACTTAGAAGATCGAATCAGGCGACTAGTAGCAGTACTCCAAGGAGCAGTGATCAAGGTATCCGTTGTCCTCGTTGCGGAAAGAAGGGGCACACGGAGCAGCTGTGTTGGTCCAGAGTCAAGCCGACATGTTCGAGTTGCGGTAAAATGGGACATAAGGACCAGGACTGTTGGAAAAGACCGAGTTTGACATCGACCTGCACCACCTGCGGGAAAAGAGGACACCTAGCTGAAAACTGCTGGACTAAGGAACGGGGGAAGCCTAAGGATGTCAGAATTTTACAAAGGCAAGTGCCCAATTCTTTCTATAATATAGCCATAGAAATTAATGGTCAACATTTCAATGGGTATATTGATACTGGTAGTCAATTGAATGTTGCTAATATTAGGGTAGCCAATAAACTCAATTTAAAATTGTATCCGACTGATATAATACTGAGGAATTTCAGTGGCTCCCACATAGTGCCAGAAGGAACCAGTCAGGTAGAGATATCTATTGGCAAGATTTTTATGACTACGTCTTTGGTATTTGTAAATGTTGAAATGTCCTCAGTTGATGTTATTATTGGACAACCAATTATAAATAGCGAAAAGGTGACTTTGAATGTTACAGGTGGTCATATACAATTAAAACCAGCTGAAGATAATTTGTTAGAAATGTTTAGTTTCCTAGATAATATAGAAAAATTGCCTATTGAAGTTTTCGAACATGTACATATTCCTGCTCTAAGTTCTAAGAGAATATTGGTTGCTTTAGATAATACCCACGATATTGTTATTATAAGTGGTCAGCTGTTTACTGGTTCCCAAAATTGTTCTATACAAGGTTGTATTATTAGTGGACCAGTTCAAACGTTAAATGTCATAAATTGGGGTAATAAACCTATATGTTGGGACAAAGGACAAATTTTAACAAAGGGGTTCAAGCTAAGTTCCTCGACTAAATTTCCAGTCATAGAAGAAGGCAATGTACTAAGCACTCTATCGTTACAAATGGATAACATAATTTGTGGAAATTTATCAGAAAATGATAGAAATAAGTTGTATGATCTTTTACATAGCTTCAGCAAATGTTTTGCAACTGATACTCTCGAGTTAGGTAATAGTAAATCAGTAGAAGTGAAAATAGATTTGTTATCTGACAAACCAATCGTTCATAGGCCCTACCGCTTGTCTGAATTTGAAAGGGGGATCGTCCGAGATAAAATTAGTGACCTCTTGGAAGGAGGTATTATTAGAGAATCATCATCTAACTACTCTAGTCCAATCGTTCTTGTAAAAAAGAAGACCGGAGATTACCGTTTATGCGTGGACTATAGAAAATTAAATTCTATCATGGTGAAGAATAATTATCCACTGCCACACATAGAAGATTTGATATCCAGGCTACAAAACAAAAAGTATTTTTGCAGTTTAGATATGGCCCAAGGATATTATCAAGTGCCTGTGGCATCTGATTCCATTAATAAAACTGCCTTTGTAACGCCTGACGGTCAGTATGAATTTTTAAGAATGCCTTTTGGGATCGCTAATGCTCCCGGCACATTTCAAAAAATGGTAAATAATGTATTGGGAAATTTGAGATATGATACGGTCGCTGTTTATCTCGACGACATACTGATCCCGTCAGACACTGTGGAACAGGGATTGCAAGTTTTACGACAAGTTCTTGAATTATTTGCCAAAGCCAATTTAAAATTGAATATAGATAAGTGCTCATTTTTCCAGACACAAATAGATTTCCTTGGATATGAGATTTCGGAACTAGGAATAAGACCTGGTGATCGAAAAGTTAGAGCAGTAGCAGACTTCAAAGATCCAACAAATATACATGAGCTACGGCAGTTTTTGGGACTCAGTTCCTATTTCCGTAAGTTTATAAAAGATCATGCAAAAATTGTCGCTCCACTTACAACATTGTTACGAAAAAATGTGCCGTGGTCTTGGGAAAGTGAGCACAAATAAGCTGTTAGTAAAATTAAGGATATACTTATAAATAAACCTATTCTCAAAATTTATGACCCTGAAGCAAAGACTGAACTACATACAGACGCATGTAGCAAGGGCATTGGAAGTATGCTCCTACAGTATGAGGGAGCTACGTTAAAACCGGTATATTACTTTAGCCGATCAACATCTCGTGATGAAAAATTATATCATTCATACGAGTTAGAGACCTTAGCTGTTGTTGAGTCAATCAAAAGATTTAGGGTCTATTTGACAGGGATACATTTTAAAATAGTCACAGATTGTAGTGCAGTTAGGGGTACTTTTGAGAAAAAAGATTTGCTACCTAGGGTTGCACGATGGTGGTTGAGTATCCAAGATTTCGATTTCGAAATAGAACACCGTCCGGGTGATAAAATGAAACATGTGGATGCTCTAAGTAGAAATCCAGTGGGCGATGTACTTATTATGGACGCGTCTGATTGGGTTTTAGCATTACAACAGCAAGATGAAAGTATACGGATAATAAAAGAAAAGTTAGCCGCAGCAAATGACAAGGACATTTTAAATAACTATAAAATAAGGGATCATAAATTGTATCGTAAGACGTTGGATGGTAAGCTTAAGCTGGTTGTTCCAAAGTCTGCGCGATTTAACATATTGCGGAAATATCATGATGATATCGGCCATGTAGGACTAAAACGATGCGAGGCAATTATCAAGGACAAATTTTGGTTCAAAAATATGACTAGATTTATAAAAAAATACGTAACTGCGTGCCTAGATTGTCAGTATAAAAGGGGACAATATGGAAAACAACAAGGACAACTCTTTCCCATAAGTAAGCCGTGCAAACCGCTTCATACATGGCATATTGACCATTTAGGCCCATTTGTTAAAAGTGATAGGGGAAATTCATATATTCTCATGATAATTGATTCATTCGCTAAATTTGTATTTGCTAGACCGACAAAAACTACAAAGGCTAAAGAGGTTAATGAACATTTAGACGATTTATTTAGTATGTTCGGGACTCCCAAAAGAATAATTTCAGATCGTGGAAAAGCTTTCACTAGTAAAGCGTTCAAATTATTTTTAAGCCAGTATCAAGTTAAACATATTTTAAACGCTATAGCATGTCCAAGAGCAAATGGGCAAATCGAAAGGTATAATCGAACAATATTAAACGGGATAAATACGTCTATAGAAAATGAAAGTGATTGGCAGAGAGCTCTTCCTAAAGCTTTATGGGGTATTAATAATACAGTGAACGATACTACCGGGTATGCGCCACACCTTTTAATGTTTGGTTATGAAAAAAACCGTCATGCTGATCTGGGAGATAATGAGTTTGAGGTCCCGCCCGATGCTAAGCGAAAGGCAAAAGACAGGATGGACATACAGGCATATAAAATGAAAAAACGTTTCGATGAAAAGCACACGCCTACAAAGTCATACAATAAGGGTGATCTTGTATTATGGTCAGGGGCGAATACAAATCAAAAAGAAGTTAGTAGGAAAGTAGGTTATCAAAAGTTTGGTGGGCCTTATAAAATCAAGAAGGTTTTGGGAAATGATAGATATGAAATAACATCTTTGGAGGGCTTGAAGGGGTATAAGAGATTTAGAGCTATAGTATCTGCGGATAGCTTGAGAGAATGGAAAGGTGGTGTCGTTGATATTAGAGAAAGTGAAAGCGAGGTCAATAGTACAGATGAGCTGATTGATTTGTTAGAAGGTTAGTCTGTAAGGTATAGATATATTTATATGTCCTCTAATTATCATGTAATAAAACTGGTTACTGGAGTTGCAGTGTTATTGTGAATCAGTGGTAGTGTGGTAACCGAGATCACACTAGATGAAAGGTAGCATACATAACTATATGTGTGGTAACACAGTTCACACTATCGAAGATAGCATGAGTGTGGTAACAAAGTTCACACCAATCTGATAGATTTAATAAGTGTGGTAACTAAGATCACACTGAAAAAAAATACACATGAAGTGTGGTAACTAAGCTCACACATTAATACAGGTATATAAGTGTGGTAACTAAGATCACACTGTGAAAAAAAAAATACACATGAAGTGTGGTAACTAAGCTCACACATTAATAAAGGTATATAAGTGTGGTAACTAAGATCACACTGAAAAAAAAATTATGAAGTGTGGTAACTAAAGTCACACTGGCTGTGAGTGAACAATGCTATAAATTCATCCACCCTGTAATAGATTTTGTAGTAAAATGGTACTGTATTTTGTTTCTTTCCTAGGGCTACAAACATAGACAGCTACTATAATCTTGACATTCCCACAAAAAAATGTAAACAAGCATGGTTCAAATTTACTCAATTTAAAATCAAGTTTAAGCAAACAATCTTTCACTTTTTCATACCAGACCAAAGAAGACTGTTTTAATCCATAAATAGCTCTTTTTAGTTTCAAGATCTTACCTGTTTGCTTATTTACAAATCCTTCCGGAAATGACATATAAATATTTTCTTTTAAATGCCCATTTAAAAATGCTGTAGTAACATCTAGATGTCTAATGTCCATATCCCACTGTACACTTAGAGCAAACAACATTCTCAGTGTAGAATGTTTAACAACAGGAGAAAAAGTGTTCTCATAATCAACTCCACGTCGCTGTGAAAAACCCTTAGCCACAAGTCGCGCACGATACCGCACTTTTTCATTCACATCTAGTTTTTTATTTAAGACCCACTTGTTTTGCACAATTGATGCATCACTTGGTATATCAACAATATCCCATGCATTGTTGTCCTCGAATGACCGAAGTTCCTCTCGTATGGCCTCTCTCCACTGATCAGCTTCTGGTCCATTCAGTGCTTCATAAAAATCTATTTGTTCGGCTTCTGAACAAGAATTAGTAGTACACATGTTACCAAACCCAAAACGATCTGGTGGTCTTCGTGTTCTCTTATCTTCTTCTTGTAATGCCGCTATATCTTGAATCTCACTAAGCGAGACATCTGTATCTGTGTTTGTGGTCATTGTATCATCATTACTGCCACTAGACGGATCAGTATATACAGATGTATGCGAATCTGAGTCATGGAGAGATTCATTCACTGAAGGCTCCCCCACTGAATCTCTGCCATCTTTAATTGTAGGAGATTCATGATCTTCAATTTCTACATCATTCTGTATCCATTCTGCTGTGTCTTCTTCAATCTTTTCTGATGATACTTTCTTTTCTTCCATCACTATTATATCTCTCTTAATAGTTATAATATTTGTTATAGGATCATATACACGATATCCCTTCACTGTCTCTGAAAATCCCACAAGAATGTTCATTTGGGCTTTCTTGTCCCATTTTAATCTTCTTTCTTTTGGTATGTGTTACGAAAAATATTACATCGAGTCCAAGGACGGCAACGTCGGAAGACTAGATAATATATCCACAAACTTGTATGATACGAAAAAAAGCATGTAAACACTAAACGGACAGAATAAATCGAGCGTTGTTACCGGGCAGGTAGTTTTATTGAGAGCTCCGAAAAACATCGTGTCGTGTGAGAAAAGACGTAATATTTCAGAAGGTGGGATAGAACTTACTGAATATTGATTAGTTGTGACGGGTTAATAAGTTATCGTGTTGCTAAGTACTGTGTATAGACTTAGTGCAAGATGAGTGACACTTCAAGTGAGGATGATAATGAACAATCTGGACTTTATGTGTGTGCTCCAACAAAAAAACGGAAGATCGAGAAAACAGTTGACAAGCTTGTGGCAAAAAAAGTGAGTAAGATTTTGAGTCAACGTAATTTCATACAGAGCACTGATTCAAAATACACCGGGAAAGCAGATTTGATACCAGAGTTTGATCCGGAAAAATCAGAGATCACTGCCATAAATTGGTTACATAAGATTGAACAAATTGGAATGATTAATAGTTGGAGCGATGAACAAAAATCATTATGCATGCAGTCTCGCCTTACAGGATTGGCAAAAGTTTGGTATAACGGGCTAACAGACTACAACTTGAATTGGGACGAGTGGAAATTGGCCATCTCACGTGCCTTCCCTGCACATACAGACTACGTCAACTTGCTAAAAAAAATGTTGGCGCGAAGTAAGAGTAATGATGAGAGCATGATGCATTATTTTTATTCGAAGAACATGCTGGTAAAAAAATGTGGACTAGTGGGGACTAATGCAGTTTCTTGCATAATTGATGATTACCCATACCACTGCAAGCTAACGCAAAAGCTGGGAACTATGAATCACCAGACGAGCTGTTCTACGGGTTCCTTAGCAAAGTAGCGAGTTTTCGCGAGTCGCCAGCTAAGAGAATGGGTACCACAGAAAATTTTGATCTACAACCTAGTACATCTGGACAATTGACATTTAGGTGTATCTTATGCAAGAAAGTAGGGCATAAAGCCCGACATTGTTTACTTAGAAGATCGAATCAGGCGACTAGTAGCAGTACTCCAAGGAGCAGTGATCAAGGTATCCGTTGTCCTCGTTGCGGAAAGAAGGGGCACACGGAGCAGCTGTGTTGGTCCAGAGTCAAGCCGACATGTTCGAGTTGCGGTAAAATGGGACATAAGGACCAGGACTGTTGGAAAAGACCGAGTTTGACATCGACCTGCACCACCTGCGGGAAAAGAGGACACCTAGCTGAAAACTGCTGGACTAAGGAACGGGGGAAGCCTAAGGATGTCAGAATTTTACAAAGGCAAGTGCCCAATTCTTTCTATAATATAGCCATAGAAATTAATGGTCAACATTTCAATGGGTATATTGATACTGGTAGTCAATTGAATGTTGCTAATATTAGGGTAGCCAATAAACTCAATTTAAAATTGTATCCGACTGATATAATACTGAGGAATTTCAGTGGCTCCCACATAGTGCCAGAAGGAACCAGTCAGGTAGAGATATCTATTGGCAAGATTTTTATGACTACGTCTTTGGTATTTGTAAATGTTGAAATGTCCTCAGTTGATGTTATTATTGGACAACCAATTATAAATAGCGAAAAGGTGACTTTGAATGTTACAGGTGGTCATATACAATTAAAACCAGCTGAAGATAATTTGTTAGAAATGTTTAGTTTCCTAGATAATATAGAAAAATTGCCTATTGAAGTTTTCGAACATGTACATATTCCTGCTCTAAGTTCTAAGAGAATATTGGTTGCTTTAGATAATACCCACGATATTGTTATTATAAGTGGTCAGCTGTTTACTGGTTCCCAAAATTGTTCTATACAAGGTTGTATTATTAGTGGACCAGTTCAAACGTTAAATGTCATAAATTGGGGTAATAAACCTATATGTTGGGACAAAGGACAAATTTTAACAAAGGGGTTCAAGCTAAGTTCCTCGACTAAATTTCCAGTCATAGAAGAAGGCAATGTACTAAGCACTCTATCGTTACAAATGGATAACATAATTTGTGGAAATTTATCAGAAAATGATAGAAATAAGTTGTATGATCTTTTACATAGCTTCAGCAAATGTTTTGCAACTGATACTCTCGAGTTAGGTAATAGTAAATCAGTAGAAGTGAAAATAGATTTGTTATCTGACAAACCAATCGTTCATAGGCCCTACCGCTTGTCTGAATTTGAAAGGGGGATCGTCCGAGATAAAATTAGTGACCTCTTGGAAGGAGGTATTATTAGAGAATCATCATCTAACTACTCTAGTCCAATCGTTCTTGTAAAAAAGAAGACCGGAGATTACCGTTTATGCGTGGACTATAGAAAATTAAATTCTATCATGGTGAAGAATAATTATCCACTGCCACACATAGAAGATTTGATATCCAGGCTACAAAACAAAAAGTATTTTTGCAGTTTAGATATGGCCCAAGGATATTATCAAGTGCCTGTGGCATCTGATTCCATTAATAAAACTGCCTTTGTAACGCCTGACGGTCAGTATGAATTTTTAAGAATGCCTTTTGGGATCGCTAATGCTCCCGGCACATTTCAAAAAATGGTAAATAATGTATTGGGAAATTTGAGATATGATACGGTCGCTGTTTATCTCGACGACATACTGATCCCGTCAGACACTGTGGAACAGGGATTGCAAGTTTTACGACAAGTTCTTGAATTATTTGCCAAAGCCAATTTAAAATTGAATATAGATAAGTGCTCATTTTTCCAGACACAAATAGATTTCCTTGGATATGAGATTTCGGAACTAGGAATAAGACCTGGTGATCGAAAAGTTAGAGCAGTAGCAGACTTCAAAGATCCAACAAATATACATGAGCTACGGCAGTTTTTGGGACTCAGTTCCTATTTCCGTAAGTTTATAAAAGATCATGCAAAAATTGTCGCTCCACTTACAACATTGTTACGAAAAAATGTGCCGTGGTCTTGGGAAAGTGAGCACAAATAAGCTGTTAGTAAAATTAAGGATATACTTATAAATAAACCTATTCTCAAAATTTATGACCCTGAAGCAAAGACTGAACTACATACAGACGCATGTAGCAAGGGCATTGGAAGTATGCTCCTACAGTATGAGGGAGCTACGTTAAAACCGGTATATTACTTTAGCCGATCAACATCTCGTGATGAAAAATTATATCATTCATACGAGTTAGAGACCTTAGCTGTTGTTGAGTCAATCAAAAGATTTAGGGTCTATTTGACAGGGATACATTTTAAAATAGTCACAGATTGTAGTGCAGTTAGGGGTACTTTTGAGAAAAAAGATTTGCTACCTAGGGTTGCACGATGGTGGTTGAGTATCCAAGATTTCGATTTCGAAATAGAACACCGTCCGGGTGATAAAATGAAACATGTGGATGCTCTAAGTAGAAATCCAGTGGGCGATGTACTTATTATGGACGCGTCTGATTGGGTTTTAGCATTACAACAGCAAGATGAAAGTATACGGATAATAAAAGAAAAGTTAGCCGCAGCAAATGACAAGGACATTTTAAATAACTATAAAATAAGGGATCATAAATTGTATCGTAAGACGTTGGATGGTAAGCTTAAGCTGGTTGTTCCAAAGTCTGCGCGATTTAACATATTGCGGAAATATCATGATGATATCGGCCATGTAGGACTAAAACGATGCGAGGCAATTATCAAGGACAAATTTTGGTTCAAAAATATGACTAGATTTATAAAAAAATACGTAACTGCGTGCCTAGATTGTCAGTATAAAAGGGGACAATATGGAAAACAACAAGGACAACTCTTTCCCATAAGTAAGCCGTGCAAACCGCTTCATACATGGCATATTGACCATTTAGGCCCATTTGTTAAAAGTGATAGGGGAAATTCATATATTCTCATGATAATTGATTCATTCGCTAAATTTGTATTTGCTAGACCGACAAAAACTACAAAGGCTAAAGAGGTTAATGAACATTTAGACGATTTATTTAGTATGTTCGGGACTCCCAAAAGAATAATTTCAGATCGTGGAAAAGCTTTCACTAGTAAAGCGTTCAAATTATTTTTAAGCCAGTATCAAGTTAAACATATTTTAAACGCTATAGCATGTCCAAGAGCAAATGGGCAAATCGAAAGGTATAATCGAACAATATTAAACGGGATAAATACGTCTATAGAAAATGAAAGTGATTGGCAGAGAGCTCTTCCTAAAGCTTTATGGGGTATTAATAATACAGTGAACGATACTACCGGGTATGCGCCACACCTTTTAATGTTTGGTTATGAAAAAAACCGTCATGCTGATCTGGGAGATAATGAGTTTGAGGTCCCGCCCGATGCTAAGCGAAAGGCAAAAGACAGGATGGACATACAGGCATATAAAATGAAAAAACGTTTCGATGAAAAGCACACGCCTACAAAGTCATACAATAAGGGTGATCTTGTATTATGGTCAGGGGCGAATACAAATCAAAAAGAAGTTAGTAGGAAAGTAGGTTATCAAAAGTTTGGTCGGCCTTATAAAATCAAGAAGGTTTTGGGAAATGATAGATATGAAATAACATCTTTGGAGGGCTTGAAGGGGTATAAGAGATTTAGAGCTATAGTATCTGCGGATAGCTTGAGAGAATGGAAAGGTGGTGTCGTTGATATTAGAGAAAGTGAAAGCGAGGTCAATAGTACAGATGAGCTGATTGATTTGTTAGAAGGTTAGTCTGTAAGGTATAGATATATTTATATGTCCTCTAATTATCATGTAATAAAACTGGTTACTGGAGTTGCAGTGTTATTGTGAATCAGTGGTAGTGTGGTAACCGAGATCACACTAGATGAAAGGTAGCATACATAACTATATGTGTGGTAACACAGTTCACACTATCGAAGATAGCATGAGTGTGGTAACAAAGTTCACACCAATCTGATAGATTTAATAAGTGTGGTAACTAAGATCACACTGAAAAAAAATACACATGAAGTGTGGTAACTAAGCTCACACATTAATACAGGTATATAAGTGTGGTAACTAAGATCACACTGTGAAAAAAAAAATACACATGAAGTGTGGTAACTAAGCTCACACATTAATAAAGGTATATAAGTGTGGTAACTAAGATCACACTGAAAAAAAAATTATGAAGTGTGGTAACTAAAGTCACACTGGCTGTGAGTGAACAATGCTATAAATTCATCCACCCTGTAATAGATTTTGTAGTAAAATGGTACTGTATTTTGTTTCTTTCCTAGGGCTACAAATAACAACCATGGGTACTATACCACTGGCGAGGACACCAGAGGGTCAGGAAGGCCGATTGTTACGAAAAATATTACATCGAGTCCAAGGACGGCAACGTCGGAAGACTAGATAATATATCCACAAACTTGTATGATACGAAAAAAAGCATGTAAACACTAAACGGACAGAATAAATCGAGCGTTGTTACCGGGCAGGTAGTTTTATTGAGAGCTCCGAAAAACATCGTGTCGTGTGAGAAAAGACGTAATATATGTGAACCATTACAGGGCTACCAAACAGACGAATATGACTTAAATCTGGTTTCTTCTGGTACCACACTTCATAGGGTGTCTTATTTCCCAAACTTGAAGTCACAGATCTATTCTTTAAGTATACTGCTGTATTAGCTGCTTCAGCCCAGAACTCCTTTTCTAGTTTTGCATCGAAAAGTAAACATCGTGCTTTCTCTACAATAGTTCTGTTGGCCCGTTCACTAACACCATTTTGCTCAGGTGTGTATGCAGTTGTCTTCTGGTGGATAATTCCTTCTTTGTGTAAGTAATTCTCCATCTCACTGCTACAAAACTCACCACCATTGTCTGTGCGCAATATTTTTATTTTCTGATTTTGCTGGTTTTCAGCCATTGCTTTAAAATTCTTGAATATATTGAAGACTTCATTCTTATATTTGAGGAAGTATATGAAAGTCATACGACTGTGATCGTCAATGAACAAGACAAAATATTTAGCACCACCTATGGACTTTGTCTCCATGGGACCACATACATCGGAATGTATTATCTGTAGTGTTTCTGTACTTATTTGTCCAACTTGAAGAAATGGTAACCTCATTTGTTTACCTTCACAACAGGTCACACATTTAGTCATTGTTATATCACTAGTATCCGGGTAAGACAATCCATCCACAATGCCATTCTTCATTTTATTCAAATCATTGCTGTTAATATGTGCTAACCGCCTGTGCCAAAGATCTGCACTTGCTACAACAGGTGCTGCCAGCATACAATCTGCTATATTGATACTTAGCTTGTATACCCCATTTGTTGACATTGCTGTAGCCACCAATACATTCTTATTGTTACGAATGTAGCATTGGTTTTCTTCAAAAACAACCTTATTTCCGTTTTTGATTAGCGCGCTCACTGACAACAGGTTTGTTGTTAAGCTCGGTACACATAGCACATCTTTAACTATGATGTCGTAGTTATAGTTAGTTGATATCTGAACGTCTCCGGAACACAAAACTGGCACTTTAGTATTATTTACGACGGTGATCTCGGATAAACACGGGGTAAAGTTAGCGTTTTTTATCCAGTCTTTGTTGGCCGTCATATGTGCACTTGCTCCACTATCTACGTACCACTCGTTCCTACTATATTTACCATTTAAGAATACCACACTGAAAGCATTTGATTGTTTGTTTTTCTGTAACAATGGACACTGGTTTCGGTAATGACCCGTTTGTTTACACTTGTAACAAGAAATGATCTTGTCACTCTTGTCACCTGTCACTCTGCTGGATGACATCGCGCCATTTTTAAATTTCTGTTTTTTGAAATTGTTTGCAGCGAATGCTGCGCCACTGGAATCCACATCATTCTTTGAAACCTCCATATCAATCAACTTCGACTTTATCGCATCGGTGGTAATCTGCAGTCCCGAATGCTCGATGGCCATAATCATCGGCGAGAATTTTTCTGGCAAACCTGCTAGTAATAATGATCCCACCCATTCTTCCGTGATTGTAAATCCTGTGTTTTTTAATCTCTGAGCTGTTTCGACCAATTGCGTAACGTATGAAGTCATAGAATCACAATTTTCTTGCCGTAACGAGATTAAATGTCTGAGTAGGGTTATTTTACGGGAAAAACCTGAGTCATCGAACATGCTTCTTAGTTTTGTCCATAACTCCAAAGATGTTTTTGTTTCCTTTATATGCACGTACAATCCAGGATCGATGGTTAAAACTAGCTTCGCCTTGGTTTTTGCGTCGTCTGATGTGTTTGCCTGGAAATTAGCCTCTGGCTCCGACTTTATGTAGTTCACGAGGTTGTCTAGCACCAACAGATTCTCGACAGCAAAACTCCACTCATCATAATTTTCGCGTCCTTTTAGTTTCGGAATGCTTGGAATATAGTTCACAGCCATATTTCCACGAAAAAGGTCAACAATTTTCGACTGTTTTACACTAGTTTACAGTAATAAAACCGAAAATTCCGGATATTCGCCCATAACCTATTAAAACACGTTGCTTTTCCGTAATAGACTGACTTTTATTTTATACATGACAGTTGACCGTGCTACACATAGTTACACACAGTACAACCTAGATGGCGTTACTTCACACATTTTGATTTATATTGTTATCTATTCCAATATTTGATCTGAAATAATAAATTCGGTGACATATCAGCGTGTACAGCATACCCAAAGCCTGCAAATTCATGCCATGCAACCGCAGCCATGGCTTCATGGCTCCTGCAGCCAGTCTGCAGGTAACAATGTATCCTCGATTAAAATGCCGAGTCGCGCTCCCAGAGACATTTGCGGTGCATTTACCGAACACGGTAGCAATTTGAATGTGTTAACTTTATCGCCGTTTTCGTCGGGGTGGTCCCTTATTTACTGCCAGGGTCCTGGTGGCAGCCAGCCGCACCGCACACCTTTAACTACAATTTACATGCGACATGTAAAAAAATTAGGTAAATAAGTTTTGTTTCTGATTCAAGATGCACGTAGAGAAGTAGTAGATCGCGTTACCCATCACGACGAAATGCTGCTTGCAGTGGAATGTACAGCGAATGACCGCGGGAATGCAGAATTTTCGGAAGGTCTCACACTTCAGGTGTGAATGGTCTGAAGGTGACTATAAATAAAACTTATCGTTGTTTCCATCGGGGTGGTCCCTTGTTTACCGCGAGGGTCCTGGTTTGAACCAGCCGCACTGCACACCTGTAACTCCACTGCATGAACATGCGACATGTGAAAGAAAAAGTGCGTTAATATGTTTTGTTTCTGACGTAACAGGCATGCAGAGGAGTAGTAGATGTCGCTACCCACCATGACGAAATGCACTGGAGGTAACATTGCTCTCGGATGTACAACGAACGATGCCGGTTTTCGGTCGGTCTCACACCTCAGGCGGTGATGGTTTTTTTATATCTGAAAGTGAGTATAAATTAAACTCACTTACTGCGAGAGCCCTGGTTGGAAGCAGCCGCGGAGTACACCTGTAGCTCAACTGTATTACATGCGACATGTGAAAAAACTACGCAAATACTTTTGATATGGGACCAGCAAGGCGCTACTCACCATGGCGAAATGCTTCGCTCACTGTGAATGACCGTCGATATGAAGAGCTATCGGAAGGTCACACACAGGTCAGACAGATTTGGTGAGTTAAATCGAAAGTAAAAAATAAAAAAAGAAAAAGGCAAACATTCCAAACCTAAGTTCACGAAAAATTATTAACCTGACTAAAACAAGGGATGAAAAATGAAATGCTTGATTACGTAAATTATATATTTTTGGGGGGTTAAGTAATAATATCTTAACTCTTTGTCGAAAGACAGGTATCGAAAATTCTTTTTATTCTTTAGGAGGTCATTACAAATAATCTCAACATTTTAGGAAAAACCGCGTTTGAAAAGTGTGGACGTATGCTGGGGTATTCAAATATTCTTTTTTCTGACAATTTGTGAACAAAAACCGAATAGTCATACTTGGCCAAGTCATTAATTTCTAACCAGTTTAGAACGCGATACAAAGATGAAACGTATACAATTGTTTTGTATAACTTGAATAACGCTTTTGGTGAAATTGTATAAACAAGTAAATAAACAAAATAGTAATATACTAAGTGACATATAAACCCGAACAGCCAGTTTAAATGGTTTTATTTTAATAAAATTTTGTATAAGTTCTTAATGAAGCATAATAAGTAAATGATAAACATTTCAAAATGATTGCACTACTCTAAAGCCCTTTGACATTTAATAATGTGTGGATGCACCCTGATGTGCTACGCATTCTCCAACGCGCCTAGGCATGCTTCTGATCAGGTGGTCAATGTCCTCCTGTGATATCTCATTCAAGGCAAATACCAACTCCTCTCGAAGTGCTTCTAGAGTCTGAGGAGGACGTTGCAAATTGAGCAATCTCCTACCCATCATATCCCACACGTGCACAATTGGGGATAAGTCGGGAGATCTTGGTGGACATGGTAACAATGTGACATCATTATGTTGAAAGAAGTCTATTGTGACTCTTGCAACATGTGGTCGGGCATTATCTTGTTGGAAAGTTGGATCTGCCAGCGTGTCAAGATAGGGTAAAAGATGGGGTTCTAGAACTTCGTGGATATAACGCTGCGCGTTCATGTTACCTCTGATGAAGATTAAAGGTGACCTGGAACCATAAGCTATAGCACCCCAAACCATAACTCCAACAGTGTGATGAACATGTCTTTCAACAAAAAACTGTAGAGTCCTCCTTTCACCACGTCGCCTTCTAACCCTCGTCACTAAAGACAATAATGTTTCATTCCTGATCCCAGAGTGACCGTTCTCTGCACCACTCAAGGCGATTACGTCGGTGTTCTCGAGTTAAAGGGAGGACCCAGTGTGGCCGGTATGAAAACAAGCCAAAACTTCTCATTCGTCGGTAAACACTTCGCATGCCAATAGGTCTTCCGTGTTCTGCAAACCATTCATTTGCAATGGACCTGGTAGTGGAGAAACGGTCCCTTAAGGCCAATAATCTTAGGCGGCGATCTTCACGGTCTGTTGTTCTACGGCGGCGTCCAGTGCCCCTTACTCTTTGCGTACGGCCTTCTCGAAGCCATGCCTGACAACAGCTAACCACAGTGTCTGCACTTCTTTGCACTCTAACTGCAATTGTCCGAAAAGAAAGTCCAGCTTCCCGAAGTCCCACTATAAGGCCCCTATCAAACTCACTAAGTTGACGGAATCGTACAGGTCTCCGTACTATAGGCATCGTAACCGATCGTAAAGGATGTCATGAACCAAAATCCGCCAACGTTGATTCTTTACTGCGGCTGAAATATTCATTTTTAGAGCGTTAGTGAATTAAAAAAAAAGCAGTATAAAAACCGGAATGTCCAACTGATAAGGCTGAAAATTTTGCACTGGTTATCTACATTCACCAACTTTTATTAAAATAAAACCATTTAAACTGGGTGTTCGGATTTATATGTCACTTAGTATATCTTAGATTTGAGAGAGTATATTATGATCTGAAGAGTACTCAATTAATTCACTTACATCGATTTGTAAATTTT